AATAAGCCTCAAGAGATTAGAAAGGGCTAGAGTCTGCAGAGGGGGAGGAGGGGGGGGAGGAGGGGCGGGAAGGGGGGGTAGTGGGACGGGAAGGAAAAGAGTTTTTAGTAAGGGAAAGGTAGAAATGTTATAAATGTCTACTTGTATGAGAATTATTTCCCTTTTTGGGTTTTTGTATTAATATGAAAAATTTAATAAATATTTAAATTAAAAAAAAAAAAAAAAAAAAAAAAACAAATACCAGCAGGGACACCATTTATTATTATTATACAGGATTTATATTGCGCCAACAGTTTGCTCAGCGCTTTACAATATAAAGGGAAACAATATAGCAAAAATACAGTTCAATACAAGAGGGTTAGGAGGGCCCTGCTCCTTGGAGCTTTCAATCTAAGAGATTTCAACTTATTGGTTCTTCCCCTGTTTGTGGGGGTTCCTTCCTTGTTTTCTGATTTTTCCATGTAATCTAAAACATACTGCAAGGTTAATTGGCACCCAAAATACGCTTTAGAGAGAGTGTGTGTGGGTATATATAAATCTAAGAATGTGGTAGTTGTACTAGAATGTAAAGTTCCTTTGAATTAGGGAAATAATATTCCTCTGTTTACAGTACTGTGGAATGCACTGTATTTATCAGCACTATAGACCTTGTTTTATAGGGTGATCCTATAGATCTAAATATACAAAATGTGGCCTGAAATGAAGTACAGGATTTGTAAATGGCTCCGACATGAGAAAGCAGAAGGAAGCATGTCAAATCCTGTGTTGTACTGCAAAGCCAATTTGTCGTGTAGATGAATATTTTTTTTCAAAGATGGATCACATTCACATTATTGGGATTATTGTGTGACAGGTTGAGGCTCCAGCCCTAAACCTGTTTGGTGCAACCTTTACTATATGTAAAAATGTGTTTTAGCACGTTACAGTAAATGGATAACTGTGTTTGTTGGTCACTTTAACAATGTATGTATTTACATGCGTAGAGTAACCATTTCAACTCTATCCCAGACCACCCACACTTGGGCTCATCAATCGGAAAAGTGTGATTAGGACATAGTCTATCTGAAGGATTCCCTGTTTTACTACTTTATAACTTCAAAAATATGAAAATGGAGAATTAAGTATTAGGTTGGGATATCCAAACTACATACAAAATAAGAGAATGTTTGCCATAGTTGTAAACAAGTGAAATTAAAATTTTTTGGCAGTTTTACAAAATCATGGCTGGCCAGAGATTAAAATGTACTAGTCATCTTAATAACATCAAATCGTCCCTTTGCTATGCTTACAGAGAAAGCAGCCATATATAAATTACATTTATAAACAACTCACCAATGCATAATACAAAAAAAAGCTGTGCTCTAACCTGTCTCCAAAGACCCTTAGGGCCTGTGCAATGGGTTTTTGTTCTTTTTAAATGGGTTTTGCATCCCTATAGAAGGCTATTGGAATGCATAACCCACTTGAAGCAGCTCAAAAGGAGGTAAACTGTACCTGTCAATTAATTTTTAATGATCTCAAAGTGATGTCAAACTTATGCCATCAATACAATCTCAGAGCCTGTCAATGCAAAACCTTAGTGTGTTATTCTTGGGATTAGTCATTTACAGCAGGAAGAGTACATTGTGGTTTTAGCACAAAGGAGGTGACAAAGACACTGCATTTCTGGCATGATCAACAAATATTTTCTGTACTTGTTCTTAACCTAAAAAATTAAAACAAATGAAGCCATCACAGCTAGGGACTGGCATGCTGCAATATCTAACATTTAACAATTTTGATCTTGGGTTTAGATATCCTTTAGATTTCAACTCCAGAATATGAGCAATTCCCACTCCCTTCCAGCTGGTGCTGCTGCAAGTATGAACAAAAACAATATCCAAATGCCCATTTTACCTAGCTGAAGCCACAGTAACAAAATAATCCTTCTATTTTTTTCTGTTTACTTCAATGGGTCCTTCTTTGGTTGTCCACATCACTGCCTGCTTTATGTGCACACCCTATTGGTGGAGGTGGCACTTCTATTGGTCAGGTCCTCTGTCATAGGCTCTAGAAGCCAGAGGATGCATGTGGAGGGGAGATACCCAAGCAGATAATGATCAAGGATATAATGCCTGGTCCCCAGGGCAGGAAATCAGCTTTGCTCATAGAGAAAACTGTGACTTACGGCCAAAGTTAAAAAGGCTATAGATAATAAGAGAAGAGCTTTTATTCAATATAAAAAATGAAGGAATGCTATCATCATTTAAACATTACAAAGAATATAACAGAATATGCAAAAAGGAAATAAAGGATGCAAAAATTGAAAACAAACAACAGATTGCAAAAGATAGCAGGACCAGTCCCCAAAAATTCTTCAAATATATTAATAGTAAAAAGGTTCGGTCCGAGCATGTAGGCCATTTACAAAATAATATAGAGTGGGTGACTGTGGACGAAGAGAAGGCAAATTTATTTAATACCTTCTTCAGCTCTGTGTATACAAAGGAGCATGGGAGAGCTCTTGTCCATAATGGGGATGGTATTGACACAGCTCCAGATGATCCACATTGGCTCACAATTGATATGATCCAAAAATATTTAGACAGAATAAAAGGTGAATAAAGCACCTGGACTGGATGGCATACACCCACGGGTCCTTAAAGAATTGAGCTCTGTCATTTCAAAGCCATTGTTTCTAATTTTTAGGGACTCCCTAATGACTGGCATAGTACCACTGGATTGGCTTAAGGCCAATGTGGTGACAATATTTAAAAAGGGGTCAAAATCTTTACCAAGTAATTATAGACCTGTTAGTTTAACTTCTATAGTTGGGAAGATACTGGAGAGTTTAATAAAAGACCACATAGATGAGTTCTTGCTGGAAAAAAATATTCATGAAATTTCATGGATTCATGAAAGACAGAAGTTGTCAAACAAATCTGATTTCTTTTTATGAGGGGGTGAGCAAAATCTTTGACAGAGGGGTGGCGGTGGATATGGTATACTTGGATTTTGCAAAAGCGTTTGACACAGTTCCCCACACACGGCTAATGTGTAAGGTAAAGTCTACAGGCTTGGAAAAATCCGCATGTAAATGGTTAGAAAACTGGCTAAAAGATCCTATTCAGAGAGTAGTGGTTAATGATTCATACTCTGAATGGTCTGGGGTCATCAGTGGTGTACCCCAGGATTCAGTGTTGGGACCCTTACTTTTTAATATATTTATAAACGATATAGGGTCTGAGATTAAAAATCCCATTTCAGTCTTTACAGATGATACCAAGCTATGCAGTGGAATAACGTCCTTACAGGATGTCTTCAATTTACAAGCCGACCTCAATGCACTGTTTAATTGGGCACCTATAGTTGTGTTCAAAATAATAGCAGTGTGTTGAAAAAAGTGAATAAAGCTCAAAATTTTTCTAATAGCTTTTATTTCCATACACAAATGCATTGGGAACACTACACATTCTATTCCAAATCAATGATGTACAAATCATTAGCAATACCTCATCTGGAATATGCAGTTAAGTTTTGGGCACCAATTCACAAAAAGAACATTGGGGAACTTGAGAAAGTACAGAGAAGGGCAACCAAACTGATAAGAGGCATGGAGGAGCTCAGCTATGAGGAAAGATTAGAGGAACTGAATTTATTCTCTCTTGAGAAGAGGTGATTAAGGGGGCGATATGATCAACATTTATAAATACATCAGCGGTTCATATAGTGAACTCGGTGTAGAGCTATTCACCCTGAGGTCAACACAGAGGACAAGGGGGCATTCTTTACGTCTGGAGGAAAAGAAATTTAATCTCCAAACACGGAAAGGTTTCTTTACAGTGAGAGCTGTGAAAATGTGGAATAGACTCCCTCAGAAGTTGGTTCTGGCCAACTCAGTGGATTGCTTCAAAAAAGGTCTGGATTGTTTCTTAGATACACAGAATGTAACTGGATACTAACATTTATAGGTAAAGTTGGTCCAGGGAATATTCAATTGCCTCTCGGGGGATCAGGAAGGAATTTTTTTCCCAGCAGGAGCAAATTGGATCTTGCTTTGCTGGGTTTTTTTGCCTTCCTCTGGATCAACTGTGGGTATAGGATTATAACTTTTTTTTTTTTTTCTGTGGTTGAACTGGATGGACTTTTGTCTTTTTTTCAGCCAGACTAACTATGTAACTATGTGACTTGGATCCATTACACTGCAGGATGTTTGGAGTCATAACAGGAAATCTAGTATCAAGCTGCTCGTCCCCAACATAATTATAAATAAAGAATCCCCCTATGGAACTTTAATGCAGCAAACATATTTTTTTTAATCATATACTTTATTACAAAGAAATATTTGTAAAAGATACATTATCTTTAAAAACATTGGCTCTGATAGATATTGCAAGGAAATTTTCCTTCACATTACAACAAAATTACCAAAAGTTACCCCAAAACGTATTGATCATTCCACTTTTTGGTGTCTTTTTTAACCACTTGCCTACCAGGCACTTATACCCCCTTATTTACCAGGCCAATTTTCAGCTTTCAGCGCTGCCGCACTTTAATTGACAATTGCGCGGTCATGCAACATTGTACCCATATTAAATTTTGATCATTTTTTTCTCACAAATAGAGCTTTCTTTTGGTGGTATTTAATCACCACTGGGCGCTTTACTTTTTGCGCTATAAACAAAAAAAGTGCAAAAAATTTGAAAAAAAAAAAAAGTTTCTTTGTTTCTATTATAAAAATTTTCAAACAGGTAATTTTTCTCCTTCACTGATGTGCGTTGATAAGGCAGCACTGATGGGCACTGATAGGCGGCACTGATGGGCACTGATAGGCAGCACTTAAGGGCACTGATAGGCAGTACTAATGAGGTGGCAGGGATAGGCGGCACTGATAGGCAGCACTAACGAGGTGTCACGGATAGGCGGCACTAATATGCAGCACTGATAGGCGGCACTGATAGGTGACACTGATGATGGGTACTGATAGACGGCACTGCCTGGCATCACTGCTGGGCACTGACTGGCGGCACTGACTGGCACAACCGCTGGGCACTGACTGGTGGCACTGACTGGCAGCACTGCTGGGCTGCACTGATGGGTGGCACTGGTGGGCAGCACTGGTGGGTGGGCACAGGTGGGTGGCACTGGTGGGCACAGGTGGGTGGGCACAGGTGGGTGGCACTGGTAAGCACAGGTAGGTGGCACTTGTGGGCACAGGTGTGTGACACTGCAGAGTGGCACAGGTGGGTGCACTGCTGGGCACAGGTGGGTGACCTGCTGGGCACAGGTGGGCAGAGCTAGTGGGTGCACTGCTGGGCACAGGTGGGCGGAACTTGTGGGTGGCACTGCTGGGCACCGATCATCAGGGCACTGATCATCAGTGCCCTGATGATCGGTGCTGATCCTCGCTCTGACAACTGCCGGTTCTCGGCAGGCAGGAAAGTGCAGCTGAGAACCGGCAATTGCATTTCCCTGTGATCAGCGTGTCATTGGACACCGCTGATCACGCGGTAAAAGGCCGCTGTGATTGGCCTTTTACCACAGCACGTGATCAGCTGTGTCCGTAGGACACAGCGATCACGGAGATCGCCGGGTGCGCGCCCCCTGGGGCGCGCAGGAGAGCGCGTTCTCGGAGGACGTCATATGACGTCCATCCAGAACTGGCCGGCCGCAGTGCAGCCGTCATTCGGCTATCTGTGGTTGGCAACTAGTTAATGGGCATAAATACAAGGAGAATTTCTAAATAAACATATAAGAAATGTATCAATAACATTCATATAATTACCATTTTGGTAATTACAAGGGAATTGAGCAATCAATATTAATCAGAGCAGTCATAAAATACTGATATCCAAGATGAGGCTGCATGGTCCAAGATTTTAATGGCTTAAATCGGAAGGACAAGGGTGGTCAAATATCCAACTCATAATGCTGATGGCAAAAGGAGAATGCCAAATCACCCTCTATATCCCTCTATAATCATCATAGACGATATGGTACAAATTAGATACAGGGCTTATTCAACAGACCTAAAAACTGGTATTCTAGTAAATACAAAGAGAAAAGCTAACTGTATATAGGGCATAGCCAATGAACACAATAAACTGAAGTATTCCTCATTTTATGGTGTCACAAGTCCCAATGGACCAAAGGTTCTATATTTAAATTGAGGTGTTTGGTGTCAAGACTGAGTAAAATAACTGATGCACAATCCACTATTTAAATTCCATTTTTCCTGGAGTTGGGCTTTTGCCCTCCAGAGGATTAACCCACCTTCCTGACCAGGCCATTTTTTGCGATACAGCGCTGCATTACTTTAACTAACAATTGCGCAGTCATGCAGCACTGCACCCAAATGAAATTTATGCCCTTTTTCCCCACAAATGGAGTTTTATTTTGGGAGTATTTGATCGCCTGTGCATTTTGAATTTTTTGCGCTATAAACAAAAAAAGATGGGCAATTTTGAAAAATAAAATATATTTTTGACTTTTTGCTATAAAATAAATCCAGTAAAAAACAAATTTCATCATAAATTTTTATAGACCAAAATGTGTTCTGCTACATGTCTTTGCTAAAAAAAAATCCCAATATGTGCAAATTAGTTGGTTTACGTGAACATTATAGCATCTACAAATGGCAGTATACTGGAATTTTTTTTCTTTTTTTAATACTAGTAATGGCGGCGATCAGCAACTTATAGCTGGACTGTGGGACTGTGGCGGGCATTCTGACACTGGGGGGGAACTGACTAACTACCACTGACATCCCCAGTGACACTAATACAGTGATCAGTGCTAATAAAAAGCACTGACACTATACTAATGACACTGGGCAGGAAGGGGTTAACATCCCGGGCGATCAAAGGGTTAACTGTGTGGTGTTTTACTGTGTTGTCTGTGTGTGCTTTACTGTGTAAGCAGTGCTATGCAGAACAATACAAAGCAGTGTGCTGGAGCTGACAGGGGAGAGATCTGTGTTGTTTACATACAGACCTCTCCTCTGTCACTGTTCCTCAACGATCACCAGGTGCCAGCGAGGAATCTCCGGTGATGGCGGCACGGGTAGGGTGGCGCGCACGTGCCCCCTGCCCGGAAATACAAAATCACGTATATATATATATATACACGTGATTTTGCACAGCCCTGCTGCCTTGTAGCAGTAGTTCTGCTATAGGGTGGTTGGGAAGCGGTTAAAATAAACCTGACTAATCATTATGGCTTATTGCACTGTACATATGAGCACTACATTAAAACTGAGTAGGAGATAATATTTCTATTTATAATGGCGTGAAATTACAATTTTACTGCAGAACAGGCTGAAAATTACATGGAAAATGACACCTACACAAAACAGATGTAACATGCATTATGAATTTATTTAACTGTAGCGTTACGTGGGTTTCATGCCAACTTTAACACACTTTTTTAAGGACAAAATATTTGCTGGAATTATAAAATGTATTTTCACTATATGAGTAAATATTTTATAGTAAGTAAAATGAATCTTGTTAATAGTGCACATTAATTAAAGGAGAAGTATGGGTTTAAAAAAAACACACATACAAGCAGGGCTCTGTGATTCTTCTTATACCAAATTGTTTTGTAACTGTACTGTCTGCCTTCATTTTGTAAAGCACTGCACAAACTGTTGGCAGCATATAAATTCTGTATAATAATAATAGTAATATTAATAAAAATAATAATGATAATACTCACATCTTTGCTGCAGCATTAGTGTGATACTGCAGTTGTTCCATATTGGTTCTAAGACCAAGAACTCAGTGATCACATGACTGCTGATCATTAACCAGTTGCCGCCCGGCCTATAGCCAGATGGCGGCCGGGCGAGCAGCTCGTCCCTCTGGGTGGACGCCATATGGCGTCCTTCAGGCATGAACAGTTTGCCTGCCTGCAGAGCCGCGTAGCGGTGTGATCTCTCACCGGCCGTGTACCTCAGACACGGCCGATGACAGATCTGTGTACCAGCCCCTTTGCCAGTACCATGTGACCTGCTGTGACCAATCACAGCAGGTCACATGACAGTTGTATACAATGCATGGCTTCCTTTCATGCCATCCATTGTATACAAGTGTGGCTAGCTGTGAATGGTCACAGCGATCACATGCACAAGCTGGGCCAATCACAGCCCAGCTGTGTCTTGTGATTAGCTGTGGCCAAATCACAGTTAAGAAAAATAAAATCCTGAATGAATCGATTTCACTCAGGTAAATGCTTGCTTATAGCAAAGTAATTCTTTGCTATAAGCAAATTGTGTAAAGAAAAAAAATACTGATCACTTCCCCAAAGTAGTACAATGTTACTATGGTAACATTGTACTACTTAGGTCATAGTGAAATATGAAAAATAATCTTAAAAAAAGAGAAAACATTTAATAAAAAATAATAAAAAATAAAAAAAGTACCATTTTTTTTGTACTCTCACCAGTCAGTGTCCCTGATCACCGCCATGCCAGTTATATGATGATGCTGTACTGCACTGGTGACAGTATGTAAAAAAATAAAAAATAGTGAAAATCATTTTTTTTATTTCTTCATTTCCGAAAAATGATGACAAAATAATTACAACTTCAAAAAGACTCGCCATGCCTCTTATGAAGTACGTCGGACTGTCTACTTTGCAAAAAGGGGTCATTTGATGGATATCTGTACTGTTCTGACATTCTTGGACCTCAAGAAATTAGATTGGCTGTCAGTACTTCAGGATTGATCTATTTTCAGATATATCCGATCAATATTCAGATATAGTTTGTGAACTCTATAACTTTCCTACAGACTAAATAATAAATACTAATGTGGGTTATTTTCACCAAAGACATGTAATAGAATACATCTTGGCCTAAATTTATGAAGAACAATTATTTATTTGCAAACTTATAAAGAAACAAAGAAAAACATGTTTTTTTTTTCAAAATTTTGGGTCTTTTTTTGTTAATTTAGCAAAAAAGAAAACCCCCAGTGGTGATTAAATACCACCAAAAGAAAGCTCTAGTTGTGTGAAGAAAATTATGAAATTTTAGTTTGGGTACAATGTTGTCATTCAAAGTGTGAGAGCGCTGAAACCTGAAAATTGGCCTGGGCAGGAAGGGGGGTAAAAGTGCCCGGTATGGAAGAGGTTAAAGTGGTTGTAAAGCTCAGACATGAAATACGAACAAAACATATCCCTCTATAGTGTGCACTTTTCTCAATTAAGAGCACTTGGGGGTAGATTCACTAAAGGCAAATAGACTGTGCAAAATGCAGTTGCACTCTGCAAGAGCAATTGCTCCAGAGCTTAGTAAATGAAGCTCTGCTGATTTCCATCATCCAATCATGTCCTTGCACATGATTGGGTATTCTTTGCAGAGTGAAGCTTTACCTCATTTACCAAGCCCGGGAGCAACTGTACTTGCAGAGTGCAGAGTGCCTTTTGGAATTCAACCCCAGGCTTTCGAGGGGGGGGGGGGGTTTTGACGGGATATTCACAAAGTTGGTCCACCGCATTGTAAAGTAAAGGGCACTGTGATATACAGGGGACTGCACTGTACAGGGGCACTGTATTGATTACAGAGCAAGGTCAGGAGCAAGCCAGGTCAGCCAGTACAAACAGATCAGTCAGTACAAACAGCAACAAAGGACATGGGTCCAACATGGGTCACAGAAAGCTGAAGAACACCCAGCAATTAGTACACAGCAGAGTCTCCTTTAAATAGGCAGCTTGGTGCCAATGCAGGAGGATGTGCACGCCAATGTGCGATGGCTCATAGAAATGCGCCTACATGTCAGTGCATGCTGGATATTAGCCTGGGCTTGTCTGTGTGCTGGTAGACATGCACAAGCATTAGCTGCATGGGAATGAGCAGTAGCTGCATGAGAATTAGCATTAGCTGAAGAAGAATTTGCATGAGCTGCAGAAGAATTTGCATAAGCTGCAGAAAAATTAGCATGAGCCATGAGCTGCAGAAGAATTAGCATTAGATGCACTAGTTTCCAGACACCAGCAAAGAGAAAGCCCTATATAACAAAGAGACAGCCCAATCCAGCAAAGATACATCCCCATATAGCAAAGAAACATCCAAATCCAGCAAAGAGACATCTTTA